GTAGTAGCCACAGGTACAATTGAGGGGGCATTGAATAAAAATAAGGGGCATAAGGAAAGAAAAGAAGACAAAAAATTTTGAAAAACTGTTCGTATATGTTTCATCTGTTGTGTACCAGAGTTAAACAATTGTTAAGCAGAGTTAAAGTGATTACATTATTTTCCAAATAAACATACAAAATGCAAGTTATAACCCAGTAGTGGTCAAGTCTGCCGACAGGTCTTAACAAGCAAGTGTTGGCAGGCAAGCATGTAGTGCATTGTCAGGAAGACCAGCATGCATCAGCAGGAATATGTGTGTAATGACTTGTTTACAACATGATACTATACAGTTACATGACACAATATTGTGTTATCAAAATTTCAATGCAGGAAAAAAACCCACAAATTTACAACAAATTATTAAATTTAAGATTGGTCTTTTCTTAAAAAAATTGTTTTTGAAATGACTCAAATTTTAAAAAAAGTTAAACGGTTAAAGAAATTAGATTTCCAGGGGGGTACTGAGTAATTTTTTTTTTTGAAAAAGGGGTGGTAGGCTAAATAAGTTTGGGAACCTCTGCCTTAGATGCCAATAGGATTGCTATCCTCACCACTGCTGTTGCTCAGCTAATTAAGTTCCTGGACAAGGGTGAAGGATGCTGTCACCACTGTTGCCATCACTCAGCTCATCTCCAAACTGAAACTAAATCTCATGTATAGCCACCTTAGCTCAGAGCCTTTCCTCAAAGTTCTGGTGTTCTTTGGCATATGGGTGGAACAAAACCTCTTGAATTTCCATTATGCATTTCTTCATGTGCCTCAGATATTCTTAGTATAGCCAACAAACAGAAATTTGTTCCTCCTGACTCAGGTCTCTCCCTTTTCCTATCCATCATCCAAATTCTGTTTGGCATTTAAAGCTCTCCAGAACCTGCCCCTTTCCTACCTTTCCAGTCTTAAACATTACTTCTCTCAACCTATTCTACATTCTAACCGTATTGACTTACATACTTGTCTTCACACATACATCTGCGTCTCCTCTCTTTTCCTTTGCAATAACAATCCCCTGTGCCTGAAATGTACTTCACCTCCTCACCTCATTTAACTTCCACCTGTTGGAATTACTGGTTTACTTTAAGACCCAACTTAATTGTCACCTTCTACGTGAAGTCTCTGATGCTCCAGAGACTAGTGCTCTTCCCCACCCCCACACTGTTGTGTATTTATTTTGAATAATTTTCCATATGCTTATATACATAGACATCATCTCCCCTATTTGAATGTAAGCTCCTGGAGGGTAGGGGTTAATTTGTTTTCATATTCATTTTTCTAGTCACTACTTTATAAATTACGGTTAACTGATTTTTTAAAAGTTTTCATTCTCCATGAATTTAGTCCCAAATCTGGATTTTCATCCACTACTAGAATTAAGGGCAGGTAGGTGGTACAGTGGATAGAGCACTGGGTTTGGAATCAAGAAGACTCATCTTCATGAGTTCAAATCCAGCCTCAGACACTTCCTAGCTGTGAGACCTTGGGCAACTCACTTAACCCTGTTTACCTCAGTTTCTTTATTTGTAAAGTGAGCTGGAGATTGTAATGGTAAACTGCTCCAATAGCTTTGGTAAGAAAATCCCAAGTGGGGTCATGAGGAGTCAGATGTGACTGAAAATGGCTCAATGATAGTCAAAACTGGAATCAAAGAACCTCAGAGCTGGAAGGACCCTCAGAAATTAACAGCATATCATTTAAATGCAATTCATCACATATTTATTACACATCTACTTAAAAAAAATTATGCTTCTCCCTTCCCCCTTCCTTTTCCTTTCCTTCTTCTCTCCCCTTGCATTTAGATACTGCCTACTCTACACTCAGTACTTCATAAATGCTATCACATTTGATCCTCATAATACCCTTACAGGTAGGGTGCTATTGCTACCTCCATTTTACATTTAAGAAACCTTATGCAAACAGAAGTTAAGTGATCTGCCCAAGATGGTTATTGGTGTTTGAGGTCAGGTTTAAACTTAGGTTTCCTAATGCTAAGCCCACTAATCTTTTCATAATAATAACACCTAACACTTCTATAATTCATTTGCCAGGCAAGGAAGTGACTGAGGCTAGATTTGAACTCAGGCCATCCTAGCCAGGCATAGATAGCACTATCCACTGGGCCACCAGCTGCTTGTCTCAGTGACATCTAATCATCTCTATTTCATATAGATAGCCAGCTTTTACATTGGGAGTTCTTAACCTAGAGGCCATTAACTTGTTTTTTAAAAATTGATAATTATATTTCAGTAATAACTGGTTTCTTTTTTAATCCTATACATTTTAATTTTTTTAACGAATTTAAACACATTACTCCCAGAAGGGGTCCACAGGCCTGCCAAAAGGGTTCAGGACACAGAAAAGGTTAAGCACCCCTTACAGGGAGATGATAAAACTGAGGGCCTGAGTGACTGTGACCTGGGCCATAGTTCATCTTAACCGGATTTTAAATTTACGTCATCATTTTATGCATTTTGTCTGAGAATTGAAGGACTTTTCAGGTCCTTTTTCAACATTCATCTACATTTCCCTTCACCCTTTCTATTATTGGGAAATTAACCTCCCTGACCCTCAGTTTTCTCTCTCTGAATTTGAAGGGTTTGACTACATTAGACTCCAGTGCATCTTGGTCCACTTGGTGGTTTCCCAAGCCCCACCCTTTTCTCGCCTCTTCGCTGGGAAGGCCACATCCCCCGGTGCCCCAGGGCCAATCGGAACTGTTGCCGGTGCTGATTGGCTGGTTCTCTCCTCCTTTTCTCCTCCCTTCCCCCATTAGCACTGCTTCTGGTACTTTGACCTTCCAGTTGCTAGTATCAGCGCCAGGGCCTTTAGTTATTAGCACCGAAGGGTTGCTCCTGGGAGGTTCCAGGTGCAGAGCTGAAGGTAGGGGCGCTGGGGATGCAGAAGCAGGGTTCTTTCACCACTTGAGGCCCTGTTTTTTTTTTTAACCCCTTCTGGGAAGACCCTTGCAGGGGTGTGAGTGGGAGGTGGGAGCAAAAAATGACTTTTCGACGACGCCTCCTCTCCCAGCCAGTTATTCACCCCAGGTTATGGGTGAAGGGGGGGGGTCTTCCCTGCCTGGAGTGCATCTTCTTAATGGGTGCGAGGGACCCTTTACTATTGGGTTTGTGACTGAGAGGTTTGTAGGCTCTTTCAGGACCGGGACTATTGCATTTATATCTTTGCGCCCCAGGATCCTAGCACAGTACTTGCCATATAATAGGCATTTAATAAATGCTTGCTTCCTTGAATGGAGGCCATAGTGCAGATGGCATCGTATTTTTAGGGAAAGAGCCCTTAACCTAGGGTCCATGAAATTATTTTTGGAAAAAATATTTTGATAACAATTTCAATATAAGTTATTTCCTTTGTAATCTTATGCATTTTATTTTATTCATTATAAACCTTATCCATTGTGATCAAAACTGTGATCTAGGAGAATTCCAAAAGACTTAGAATGAAAAATGCTAGCCACCTCCAGAGAGAGAACTGATGAACTTTGAGATTGAAGCATATTTCCCTCCTTTCTTTCCTTCCACCCTCCTTCCTTCTATTCTTCCTTCCTTCCTCCCTTCCCTTCCTCCCTCCCTTCCACCCCCTCCCTCCCTTACTCCCTTTCTTCCTTCCTTCCTTCCTCACTGTGGATAATATGGAAATATCTTTCGTATGATTTCACATAGATAATGGGTATTGTATTCCTTGCCTTCTCAGTGGGTGGGGGAGGAAGTGGAGGGAGGGATACAATTTGGAACTTAAAATAAAAAAAAATTTAAAAAAATATCCTTTCAGTGGGGTCAGTGAGTCACAAAAAAGGCCCTGGTTTGGGTATTTTTCAAGGAGGTTGCAGTGTTGAGGTGGTCTTATTCTATTTTTAAAAGAGCAACCAACGTATTTTAAAGTGCCTAGGCATTACTAGAAATAAAATTACAACTTGAAAAATCAAACATTAACACTGCAGGTTCTAGTGCACAGGGCTCTTTGATACTTCTGCTTCACAAGATATTTTAGGTCCTTACTCGCTGAAAGAGAAGAATCATTGCTTTTTGACATTTTAACATCTCAGTGAAGTTCACTACATTAGCAAGGCACTGACAAAATCACAGTTTGCTTCATCTGTTTGCCTTCCATTGTCAGACTGGAAAATTCTGGTGCAAACACTAAACAAAAGTGGAGTTTAGTAGTTAATTGTAATATGAGTTGGTCCTGAATAGAGCCATTCAGATCATTACCATTTCCATTGTTAAAGCTTACAAAAACACCTGGTGTAATTGAGATTTGGTAATTCAGAATATTTTGTCTGATTATGTGGTTGGGTGACTTGTTTATGCTACCTGTTAATGACTTGTTTAGGAAGCCTTGCTCTAGGCCAGTGTATCCTTGCAAAAAACAAATCATAGAATAATTATGATGGGAACCACCTTGAGAGGTTACCTTTTCTCTGTCTCTATCCTGTTACTTTTAGAAGGTTCAAGTCCATTAAGAGATAATTCTATTATTTTAAATTCAGCTTTGTTTTCACTGTATGTGGAAAAGCTTAATAAATTGCACTGTTTTTCTTGAATAAATCTGTGATAGACCCTCCGTTAGGACCCAGGGGCACCACGCCCCGGGGCCTCTGGCTCCGCTTCCCCTAACGGCTGTTACAACACCCTGGGTGAAATCCTCAAGGGTGGGGTGCAACATCCTGCTCTGTAAATAACCTGACCTGTCTTCCCGGCACTCCCCCCAGACCCTGTTCCCTTCCCGGCACTCCCCCCAGACCCTGTTCCCTTCCCGGCACTCCCCCCAGACCCTGTTCCCTTCCCGGCACTTCCCCCAGACCCTGTTCCCTTCCCGGCTCCCCACCAGACCCTGTTTTGTAACCGGACAGTATAAATATCTCAGATGAAACCCTCGGTGGTACGGCCCCTAGGATGCACGCCTGGGGTCCGTCGCCGGCCGGCTCAAATAAACGCGCTCTCAATTAAAGTCAATTGGGTGTGATGCTCTGATTTCTCTCGGGCGTCCAGTTCAAATCTTATGGTGTATTTCCAGTTACTTTATCTGTTGTAGATTGAATTATTCCTTTGATTTATGTTTTGTTAAGGTCATTCTTTTTTCATTTACTACAGTTGGTGGCATGGCCAACAAGAGATTAACTCGAGTAGGTTTATCACCGGATCTGTGTGACTGGCTGAGTAGACATCAGATTGTCACTTGTCAGGTAAATTTTTAATTTTTTAAAATGAAAAAAATTATAAATATATATTAAACAGATGTTTTTAAGCACACATATAACAAGTAAATTTGGGTTTTTTAAAAAAGATGTTAGGTGATAATTGACTTTCAAAAAGAGTTCATTGTACTATACTTTTAAATAAGACTATTTTGGTACATTTAAAATAGTGTATGACAACTTGAAAAAATTTGATTTGTACACACTACTTTCTGGAATGCATTTCTTTTTTTGGAAAACACTTTATAAAAAGAAATGTACTTCAAATTCATGTTTAAGACACATTTTCTCATGTTTCTCTGTTAGCTGCTCTCCCTTCCCAGTTCTCAATTCCTACTGATGCCACCATTATCTTGTTCAGTTACTCAGGCAAGAAAATCAGAGTCCTCCTCAACTCTTCCCTCTCCTTCACTCCATCACATCCAATCAGTTGCAAAGTTTTATCAGTTCTAACTCCACAGTATCTCTTCTGTCCATTTCCTTCTCTCCATTTACTCTGCCACCACCCTAATTCAGTCACTCATGACTTCTTTCCTGGATGGTAGTATAGCTTCAGCTGGTCTTCCAGCCTTTATTCTATTCTTTACACAGCTGAAAAAAAAAATCTTTTTAATGTGCAAGTCCGGCTATGTCAACTCTTCTGCTTAAAATCTTCCAGAGGCTGCTTATTGCTGCTTCTTGTTTTTCAGTCATGTCTGATTCTTTACTATTTGAGGTTTTCTTGGTGACATAGTAGGGAATCTGGAAACCCCGCCCTTGGACTTTCCCAGTAATTTCAGGAACCCAGTCCCTGAACCCTGAACCCTGATCCCTGACATTCACCTGAGGCACCTGGCTCCTCTCAGTATAATCCTTTCAATTGTCCTTTCTTTGTGCCCCCCCATTCTCTGTACCTCCAGATCACCCCAGGCTATTTGCCACTCTTCAATCACATCCAAATCTTCCCATAATCTTTGTCCCTACAGAAATTTTAGTCTGGCCTGCTTGTTTTGGCGTCACAAATAAACTTGCTACTTCGACTGGAAGGCTTGAGTGGTTGAATTCTTCTGAGGCAGATCTGTGCCCTATACCTTTGTATTTCAGGTTTCTCATCACCCCTAGACCACAACATTGGCAAAGATAACTGGAGTAGCTTGCCATTTCCATCTCATTTTACAGATGAGGATACTGAGGCAAACAGTTTAGATATCTGAGGCCAGATTTGAACTCATGAAGATGAGTCTTCCTGATTCCAAGCCCAGTGCTCTATCCACTGTGTCAACTAGCTGCTCCTTATTTCCTCTAGGCAGGATAAAATACAAACTCCTAAACCTGTCATTAGGCAACTAGGTGGCACAGTGGATAGAGTCCCTGGCTTCAAGTCAGGAAGACTCATCTTCCAGAGTTCAAAGCCTGCTTCAGAAACTTACTAGCTGTGTGATCCTGGGCAAGTCACTTAACCCTATTTGCCTCAGGTTCCTTATCTGTAAAAAGAGCTGGAGAAGGAAATGGCAAACCACTTAAGTATCTTTGCTAAGAAAACACCAGATGGGATTGTGAAGAGTCAGACATGACTGAAAAAACACCTGGACAACAACAAAACCTGTCTAAAGACTGTTTACAGACTGAAACAACTCAGCAACTCTTCTAGTTCCAGCCTACCTGTCACTCTGTTTCATATTACTTTCCCTAAAGCTCTCTACACCCTTATCTAATTGGACTACTAGCTGTTTTCAGAACTCAACATTTCTATCTCTAGCCTCCCTGCATTTGTAGAAAGTCCCTTCCTCCACTCCCCCCCCTCCCCCAAATGCCTGGAATTCTTTTGCTCCTCATCTCTGCCACTTGAATTATTCTTAATTCAACTCACTTGCCAATTAAACCATAAAGCCTTTCCTGATTCCTTTGGCTGAAAGTGTTTTTCCCCTTCTCAGATTTTCCTGGAGCTCTTTGGTTCTTTTCTAGGTCCACATCACATTCTATCTTCTACTATATTTATCTGTATCTCTATTGTATTCCTCCTTGTAGAATGTTAGCTCCATTAGGGCAGAGTGTATTATTTTTTAATCTTGCATGTTGTAGAATTTAATAAATATTTGTGCAGTTGAATTGACTTTGTTGAATCCTGTTATGCATTAAGATTCCAGTTTAGTCTTGTTCATTTAGGGGAATTGCTTGTTTGCATAAGAAATATGCAAATCAGAAGGTTATGACTGATTTCTCTTAAAAGCAATTTTAGGGATGATGAACATTTTTATTCCATCTGAATGAATCTGGGTGGATTTAGAAATGTGTGGTGAGAGCATTGGGTTTGTATGCTTGGTAATAACATCCATCTAAAGGGATTGAAAAACTAATATGATTTTATTTACCAAGATAGATTTTCATTAAATGCCGTAATTTTATGTTTGTTTTTTAATATTGAAGATACATATTCAAGGCCTTCTATTAAATATCCATTTATGTTTATGTTCACATTTTCTACGGAAACCACTTTGGAAAGATCAAAGTTTAAAAATTTGTTTTATTATGAATTAGAAAATCATCATTGAACATGACCATTTTTATATACAAAGAAAGCCAGGAAAATAAGATTGTATATAAAACTGAATCTGTTACATATAGCTTATTTTAAAAATATGTATATTAAATTTAAAATGGAAGTACAGACATGGCTTGTCTGTATCTCCTCTGTATATTTTTAAAGTGTTTCATTGAAGCTCTTTTATTTCTTGTATCACTAGTTTCTATTTCCACACATATTTCTCCCTCATTATCCCCCATAAAATGCTTCCCTTATAACAAATTAATTTTTGTTGTTTAGTTGTTTCATTTGTATCTTGACTCTTTGTGACTCCATTTGGGGTTTTCTTGGGAAAGATAGTGGAGTGTTTTGCCATTTCCTTCTCCAGCTCATTTTACAGATGAGGAAACTGAGGTAACCAGGGTTAAATGACTTGCCCAGGGTCACACAGCTAGTAAGTGTCTGAGGTCACATTTGAACTCAGGAAGATGAGTCTTCCTTACTTCAGGCCCTGCAATCTATCCAGTATGCCACCTAGTTGCCCTAGCAAATTAATATAATCAAGCAAAAAAAATTGTTTTTTGTTGGTTTGTGTCTGAAAGTATATGCCTCATTCTGTACCTGTATGCTTTGTGACCAGGTTTAGAATTGTTGATTAAGTTTTAATAAAAGTTGCTTTTATTCACAATGTTATAGTTATTGTGTAAATAGTTCTGGTTCTACTTAATTCACTCTATATCAGTTCATGTAAGGCTTCCCAGGTTTCTCTGAATCAAGTATTTTTCATTATTTCTCTTAGTTCCATAATGTTCCATTGCACTTAGATACCATAATTTGTTCAGTGATTCCCCAAATGATGGGCACCTATTTTGTTTTTAGGTTTTTTGAAACAACAGAAAGTACTGTAAATATATAAAAAGTACTATAATTATCTTGTTCATAGGTGTTCTTTCCTCCTGTCTTTTATCTCTTTGGATTATATGCCTAGTAGAGGTGTTGTTAGATCAAAGAGTGTGTTGTTTAATGACTTTTGGGGCAGAGTTCCAAATTGGTTTCCAGATTGGCTCCAACACTGGCATTTCTTTTTCTTTCTTTCTTTCTTTTTTGATTGTTGTTGTTGTCTTTCTTAATCAATTGAGCATAAGATGGAACCTCAGAATTATTTTAATTTTCATTTCTCTTATTAGTGATTTGAAGTGTTTTTTTTTATTTTTAATATGGTTTTTAATAGTTTAGATTTCATTTGTTAACTTGTTAACATCCTTGGACCATTAACCTATTGGGTTATTCTTATATATTTGTATCAGTTCCCTATAGAGCTTGAATATCAGACCTTTATCAGAAAAACTTGCTCCAAAATTTTTTTCCTAGTCACCTGTTTTCCTTCTAATTCTGTGTTGTTTTTTGTGCAAAATCTTTAAAATTTTATGGAATCAATTATCCATTTTATTTCCTGTGATTCTCTCTATCCCTTTTCTGGTCAAGAAATATTTCCCCCTTCATAGTCGTGAAAGTATCTATCTCCTTCCCTGTTTCTCCAAATTGTTTATAATGTGACCCTTTATATGATCAAAAAGAATCAAGTCAGTAAATTTTTTTTATTAAAAACCTACTTTGTGCCAGGTATAGTGCCAGGGGGATACAAATACTATGGAAAACAGTTCCCACCCTCAAGGACCTAACAGTGTAATGGGGGGGATACTGTAGAGGAAAGAAAGCTGAAAAGTAGAGTTTGTGAGGGAAAGCACTCAACTCAGTGCAGCTGGTGGGAAATGGGGCCATGTCGAAAGTCATGTATCAGCTTGGAGCTTATTTTGGTATATAGTATGAGGTGCTGATCTTAGCCTACTTTCTCATAAACTGCTTTCCAATTTTTCCAGCAGTTTTTGTCAAATAGAGAGAGAGGCCTTTAAGTAGTAATATGAATGTTAATTTTTTCTTTCACAAGATACTTGTCTTTTAATTGTTAGATGCTAGCTGTTTCTTTATATTCATCTAGATTTTAAGGAGCACATGCCAAACTAATACTTAATTTTCTCAGTGTATCAACATCTGTGTCTGAACTCCGTAAGGCCCGATGTGCTTATTTAATAAGAATAAGTAAATGTGGCATTAAATGAACAATGTGATTATTTGCAACTATGTCATAAAACTCTAGATGGTTAAAATGTTTCTACGTGTGATTAAGCAGGGCATTGCTTCTGGAATTCTTAGAGGTGATTGTACGTCTTTATAGATGCTGGTTAGTTATATATATATTTATGTATATATATATATATGTATATAAAACTATAACTATAGTTAGCTATAGTTGCTGGTAGTTTTAAGTGTCTGGTGCCCTATGCTTTAGTGAGTACATGGCAACTCAATTAAATAACCAAAAGATAAGAATCTGTCACCATATCTTTTAGTTTATCAGAGAGCATTTGTTTATTAAGATAATACCGCAATGAAAGGTAAATCTAGAATGTTGTCTTCTTATCAACATATAGAATGCACTTACTCTCAAAGTAAGATGTAATTCATGTTGATTTAAACTGTTTCTCTGCATACTTTTATAGGATTTCTTATGCCTTTCCCCCTTGGAGCTCATGAAAATGACTGGCCAGAATTACCAGAGTGTCCGGGAACTTCTCTGCACAGTTAGCAGAGCCTGTGCTCCTCAAATGCAAACTGTAAGCTTCCCTTACATTTTGGTGGTTCATTGGCAGTAGAATTAACATGATTTTTATAAAAGCCATTTTACAAAGTAATGATTAATGAAGACTTAACTTGTGATCATGAGACTTCGGTCTTCTGTATGCCACAGACAGATCTGTTATTTTAAAATTGCTATGCTGTTTATTTTTATTTCTTATAAAATGCCTCTTGCTTCTGATGGTTGTATTTTAATAACTTGAAACATGTGACAAAGAAAATCTAATACTCAAAGCCTTGTTTACATGTTAAACTGTGGGAATAGAGCAATTTGATCCTCATTTCAATTAATTTTTTAAATGAGCTAACTGCTCAGAGCTGAGTACCATCAATGATATGGTGGCATCAGATGGCATTTCTAGTCAGCCTCAGATAGTATTGTATTAGTGATTCTTAAAAAAAATAATCCAGCCATTTGTGAAATGATCATTTCAGCTCATTGATGCTCCCTCCAAATATATCCAGCAGGCGGCAACAGATATTTTTTTTTCTTCTTGTACTTGTAAATAAACTTTCATTTCTTTTTGTTTTTGTTTTTGCATGGGAATCTGGGACTCTGCTTTTTAATTAGAATTAAATCTCTTAGGGGCAGCTAGGTGGTGCAGTGGATAGAGCATCAGCCCTGGATTCAGGAGGACCTGAGTTCAAATCCAGCCTCAGACACATAATACTTACTAGCTGTGTGACCCTGGGCAAGTCACTTAACTCCAGTTGCCTCACTTAAAAAAAAAAGAATTAAATCTTTTATTTAATTCAAAAATGTGTCCTGTCTTCATAATAGTAACCTAAATTATCTACATGAAGATACTGCTTATGATGTTATACTGATTTTGTAAATTTTTTATTTGCCAGGTAAACTAGTGTTTAAAAATTTACTCCCATTCTTGAAGAAAGTTTATATAAATGGTGTCCCAAAAGTCTTAGTGTAATTTTAAGCTATAGTTTTTTAAAAACTTCTTTTTTTTTTCCTTTTGAGCCATCCTGTATTTTTTTTTACAACAGATCGAGTTGGATTATATTTTTGAATTCTCTTTCCCATTTCTGTAGCTTTTTTAAAGTAGTTAATAATAATGTACACATTAGTAGTATATAAGATGATGGATTTAAGAGGGTGGGAAAGTTGAAGGATGATGAATGAGCTGCAGGAGGCAGCCAGGGTTATGTAGAAGCAGTAAGCAGTGGACAGGGCAGACCCTGACCTCTGTTCTTCCTGTTCTAAATCCTCCTGGCCTCATTCTTCCCTCTTTCATGGAGCATTTGATGAATGCAGAGACTAAATATTCTTAAAAATAAAGTGGGGCAGCTAGATGGCACAGTGGATACAGCACTAGCCCTGAGGTCAGGAAAACCTGGATTCAAATCTAGCCTCAGACACTTGACACTTACTAACTGTGTGACCCTGGGCAAGTCACTTAACCCAGATTAACTTTCACGTGCCCCCCCAACCCCCAAAATAACTTTTAAAATACTGCCTTAAAATACTTTTAAAATATTGTCTTTACTATATGAAGACATGAAATAATTCTTTTCTGAACAAATCTGAACACTAACTGATTTCCATGGAGGCTCCTCAAAGTAATTGTAGTATGGATTGAGAGATAAACTTAACCACTTTTAGCACCCAAAACCAAATTTTGAGTTAGGAGTAGTGATAGTTTTTATAGATGTAAATGAGTCAAAAGTACAGAAAATTAACACTTTGGAAAAAAATTATTAAAAGGTTGCCTTCTGATTGGTGGACTCAAGTAAAAATTGAAGCTAATGAGAGTTTTTTATCTTATTTTGGACATTTTTTTCTGGACATTAACAAGGTGGAAATGTGTTTTGCTTGCCTATACAAGAGTGCCCCAGCTTCATTGAAAATTAGGGGAAAAGTTTTGTTTGTGATGTATGACTTCATGATATGAAGTAGGGGCATTCAGACTTAGTGTCTCATAAAAACAGTGATGTGGAATAATTTGCTTTACCTATACTATGTTTGAGGGTAAAAATGAAAATTTGGAGCAAATGCTATAGGTTTTGATTAACCAGTTGAATAAGAGTTCTTTTTTTCTTGATTGATCACGTAAGTATTTTTGCTATTTAGGCTTATGGAATGAAATTAGAGAAGTGTGGTGACATTTCTTCAGCTTTCTTAGCGACAACCCTTACCAGCTTAGATGAAGCCCTACATGGAGGTGTGCCTCGTGGTTCACTCACAGAGGTAAGAGAAAGATTTTTTCTATTTTTATTTTGTAGTCAATAATCAGTCAATTGATAAACATTAATTAAGTGGATAGAGCCAAGATAGAACTGGGTTAATAAAATCAGTTATTTCACAAGAATTTATCTCCTGAATTAGATTGTGAGTACTTTGAAGAGAGGAACCATCTTCCAATTCTTTTTTTTTTTTTTTAAATATCCTATACAGTGTACCTTTTGATTGGTAACCTTAATCCCATAATTTTCTTAGCTCCTCTGGGAATTTGTTTTCTTAGTCAACCTCTCCTCTTTCATCTTTAATCCCTCCTTGGTGTGACTTCCTCCCCTCTCCCTAAAAATAAGTTGAGGTTGTTCCTATCCTAAGAAAAAAGCTAGCTGAGGCAAGAAGGAAGGCCCTCTCATCATCTGATACTAAAGGGATATAAGCAGGAGTATCTGAGTTATTGAGGGGGGTGAGATGGAAACTTTACTCAGAGTTATTGGTATTAAAGTTTGTGGGCAAATGTCTTTATAATGTGTCCTATGGAAGTCAATCACCTTGTACTTTTGCGTGCCTGCTGTCTCTTAGCTGACCACCTCGCTAGCTACTTTATTGAGAAGACTGAGGTCATCTTAACATGAACTCTCCTTTCATCTGTACCTTCTGTCTTCACCCTCTCCTCCTTCCGGGATATGGTTTTGTCAATGGAAATGACACTAAAGAACATGTATTACCATCTGCTTTGCTATTGAATTTTAAGGACCACTGGGTCTTTGTATTTGAATTTTAGCTGAAACTTTCTGTTTCGGAAACCCTCTTTTAGAATAGGAACTCCTTGAAAGCATGAATTGTCTTGCTTTTTTTATTTGTATCGCCAGTGTTTAGTATAGTGCTTTACACCAGAGGTGTCACTCATGGCCCACTGGGCTCTGTTTGGCCTGTAAAACTCCTGTGTATGGCCCAAACCAGATTAAAATGTAATTGGGAAATGTTTAATAAATAAAATAAATATGGATATATAGATTTATCTTTTTATCTCTTTACATATAAATGTATAGATAAATAAAAATACAGTAGAACATAGATAACATTAATTTGTGGTTTTGTAAATCAAACTGAGGGGCAGCTATGTGGTGCAGTGGATAGAGCACTGAGCTTGGAGTCAGGAAGACTGAGGTTCAGATCTGGCCTCAGACACTTCCTAGCTGTGTGCTGGGCTCAGTTTCCTCATCTGTAAAAAGAGCTGGAGAAGGAAATGACAAATCACTCCAGTATCTCTTCCAAGAAAACCCCAAATGGATCACAAAGAGTCAGATACAACTAAAATGACTGAACAATGAAAACAAAGTCAATATGAGGCCTAGGGATCTGGTTCCATTTGAATTTTGACAGCATTTGAATTTTTACACATATTAAGTACTTAATAAAGGCTTTTTCATTCATTCATTATTTCTTCTTTCCTGTCGGAGAAGATGGATGATCCCTTTTCGAGGCTAATGCTTTCCCTTATGCCCTAATGCTGTCCCTTTATATATTTTTAGTGAGTTTGCTGCTGTTTCTCTCTTAGCTTTAGGTTTTCTCTATCTGTTGGGTCCTTCTGTGATGTCTATAAATAATAATTGCTAGCATTTACACAGTACTTTAAGGTTTCAAAGTGCTTTATGTATATTATCTTATTTGATCTTCACAACATCAGCAACAACAACAATAATGTTTATATAGCACCCACCATGTTCCAGGCACAGTTCTAAATGCTTTATAATTATTATAATTTTTTCCCTCATAATAACCCTAGGTGCTGTTGTTATCCCTATTTTGTAGACTGAGGCTCTGAGAAGTTAGGTGGCTTGCCCAGGAATGCATAGCTAATGAGGAATATGAAGCAGAATTCAAAATGAGGTCTTTTCAATTTTAAATCCAATGCCACATTGTTTGTCTTTCCTATCCTAAAAAACGATGAAAAACCCCCAAACTTCTTTTCTTGTAACACTCTTTGCCCCTCAGACTGTCATTCAGTTACTCTCTTCTACTTCAGTGCCAATTTTCTAAGGTTAGCCTACATTTGCTACTTCCAGTGCATTACTACCCACAGTCTAAAGCTCTCCTCAGTATCGTATGGCTTCTGTTGATTTCCCTCTACCGAAGTCATACTCTTCTCAGTCCTTAACAATTCTGTGTTTTTTTTTAACAATTCTGTGTCATTTGACACTTAGCCACTCCCTCCTAATGTTCTTGATATTCTCTTTCATTTTCCTTGACATGACTTTTTTTTTCTACTTCTACTTCTCAGATTGTTTTTTTGCAATCTTTTTTTTTTCTATTTCTTTTTTTCTGTTTCCTTCCTTTTCCCATTCTCTTTCTTCTGTTGAACTTAACTATTTTCAGGACTTTATTTACTGTGAGCATTCCAATTCATCTGCCTTCTGCTACTACCTTGATGACTAGCAAACTCCCTCCATCTAAGAATAAACTATTCTCACCCTCTACCTCCTGTTATTTCATCCTCATCTTCCTCAACCCGCTCATATTGAAATACTTCTTGCTCTGACCTGTCACTTCTAGACTCTTTCTTTACTGCCATAATTCAGCATTTTCTCATTATGAAGTTCATTTTTAAAAAAGTTTTCCTCCCATACAGATTATGGAGTTTTCTACCTGCCCCCAGATCATTTTACCTCATTTCTCAAGGAGTTCAGCACCTGGCTTACTATCTTTCTCTCTTTCCCAACTTCTGCCCTTACTTTAGTGGACTTCAGCATTCAGGTTGATGCTTCCCTAAATAACCTAACCTCCCAGTTCCTCAGTTTCAGTTCCATTATCTACTCCTCCTTTCCACCTCAACCACATCCAGGGATGGTCACACTCTATTCTCTGATTGGACCATAATCTCTTCTTAGTCATCTTTTTTTTTATGAATAACTTCTTCTAAACCCACTCTTCCCTCTCATTGAGACTTTGAATTCCTATAGCTTGCAGTATTCTCTCAGGTCATTAACTCAGTTTAGATTTTAAAGCCCTTTGCAACCTGGCCCCAACTATCTCTATAGCTTCATCATACATTACTCTCCTTCCTGCACTCTCTTGGTCCAGCCAAATTGGCTTTTTTTTCCAGTTCTTCATGTGTGACATTCCATCTTCTATCATGTATTTTCTTTGCACTAGCTGTCCCATCTCATATTGTCCAAAGCATTCAGTCTTCATCTTTGTCTCATAGAATACCCTTCTTCTTTCAAGATGCAGTCCAAACACCATGTTCTACTTGAAGCCTTTCATGATTACTCCTGACTGCTAGTGCCTCTTTACCCCAACTGCCTTGTGTTTAACCACCTTTTATGAATTTTGTATTTATTCTGTGTCATTCAGTTGTGTCTGACTCTTCATGATGCCATGAACCATACTGTGGATGGGGTTTTCTTGGCAGAGATACTAAGAGTGATTTGCCATCTCCTTCTCCAGTGGATTAAGGCAAATAGAGGTTAAGTTGACTTGCTCAGAGTCACGCAGCTAGTAAGTGTCTGAGGCCAGATTTGAACTCGGGTCTTCCTGACTCCAGGCCCAGCACTCTTATCTACTGAGCCAACTTGTTACTTCCTATTTATTGCTTCCTGTTTATTCTATATGTAATTTAATTGAGCATATATGCTTATGTTTACTCATTACCCCTTGTAGAATTTTTTTGGAAATAGGTTTTTTTGGAAATAGGGTTTTTTTTCCCTCTTTCTCTGTGTCCCTTTCACCTAGCAAAGTTGTTGGAATGTAGTAGGCTCTTAATGTTTGTTGATTGATTGCTGCCAAAGGAATCTTCTAATGTGCAGTTCTGATCAGTTAATAAACATGTCAAATCACTACCCAGAAATCTTTAGCAGCTTCCTATAGGATAAAATATAAATGCCTTCTCCTGGCCTAGTAAGGCTCCGGCTTATCTTTTTCGCCTTATTTCATACTGTCTTCCTTCTTCAATGTTTATCTCCTAAAAAGAACAAGCTGATCCACTCTCTCACCAAGATGCCTAGAGTGAATTCCCTGTACCTCTTTTCCTGCTGACATCCTTTCATTTCTTTTTTTAAAAAATTAATTTATTTTAAACTTAAATACTAAAACTTAAACCCACAATAAAAAACAAAACAAAACATAAACTTAAATACAAATAAGAAAAAAAAAGCATTGCCGTGTGCACAGCAGAATGTAAGAGAGGATCCAAAATATACAGCAATAAATTTTCGTTTCAAGAAAGCCTAAATAAAAAATAATATACGTTGTGTTCAGAGCTGTCCATCTTTTCTTTGCTTCCTTGTAAGTTTTCTTTTGTTTGCTGCTATGCACTTTTTACTTTGTTCTATTTCCCCTCCCTTTTTTCATCCTACTCCAAGAAAATTACAATTAAGTGTGGATACACATACATACACAAAGATATATACATACATGTACACATACATGCACTTACATACATATACTTAGATATCTGTAATCGTACTCATATATAGACATATACATTCATATGCATCTATGTAAGACCATACTATACTTGTTTGTCTTCTGTTTCTCTGAGGGTGGAGAAATCTTCCTTCATAAATCCAAGTTCTTCCATATTTTTCTAAGTCTACCAACTCATCATTTCCTACACCACAGCAATATTCCAACCTTATACTATCTAATTATTTTAAATAGTCTAAAAGAAAATTGATTAATATGATTGACATATAATGTAGTTTCCCTATTTTTCTCTTTTGAGTAAATCTATTTTAGCTTTAACTTCATCTGAGATCATGATTACTAACCTGCATTTTTTCCCTAATAAATTCTACTCCTGATCTTTATTTTATGTTTGTGTGTGTCTCTTATTTCCTGTCTGTCCTCACTCCTCTACTTTACTTCTACCTGCTACCTGCTATTACTTAACCTACCCCCCTTCCCCAAGATCCCTCCCTTATTCTCTCCACCCAACCCTTTCCTCTTACCCTCTTGTTTCTATCTGAATTTAGAAGACTTTTACAGCCTTCCAAATATGTTATTCCCTCTTT